AGTATCTCATAAATCAATCATGTCTCAATGAACAACTTGGAATACATCTGATATTCAAAATGAATAAATATGTCTCGACAAGAAACAACTGAAAATCATACTAAGGCATACTGCCTTTACACTATGAAATAAACTCTAAGATTTAAACAAAAATATAAAACTAAGGTGAAGCCTCTAATAAATCTCATGTGACGGGGACTATGCAAGAACTCTGTCATCCTACGACTCTCCAGTACTCTGAATTACCTAAAAGAATATTAAAAGAAAAAAAAGCAACAACAAGAGTGTCAGAGCGTTATAGCAAGATCACCTTCATTCGTCCCCAGGGGAAGGGCTGCTAGATGGAGTGAAGACTCTATCTATTAAACATAGTCTACCTAGATTATTGCCCCCCCCCCTATCTAATGGAATTAATATTTAGACACCTACAATACGAGATGTAGTACGTCGAGCGAAATAATTCAAATAAGAAAACCCTCATGTATATACCATATGTCCCGAATTGTAAACATCTAAATACTAATACCGAGCTAAAGATAAACAATCTAAATAAAATCAATAATTAGAAACTCACAACACGAGACTGGTACGTCGAGCGAAATAATCCAAATAAGGAAACTCTCATGTATATATCATATGTCTCAAATTGTTAGTCGCTAATCATTGATCCCAACCTAAGAATAAAATAAAACAATACAGAAAGTAAAGACATTCATAATATCGTATTTATAATATCTTTTACTATTACTGGGAAGATAAGATAAATATTAGCATATAACCCCGCGTACTTTCAAGGGTAAAGTACCTCGATCATATATCTCAGCAATGAGTCATATACATAACTAGCATCCACCAAAGACTCAGGCTATCAACAACCATCTCAATGCAAATCCTTGCAAGATTCTGATTCATCGCATCATCATACGGGACGGACTACCCGGTTGGTATCCTAACAGTGTACATGACTCATTAGTCTCATCGCATCTCTGTACGTAACACGAGTGCGGGACGGACTACCAAGTATGCATCCTAGAAATACGGTTCACAAGCCTCATCGCATCTTAGTATGGGATGGACTGCTAGATAAAGCATCCTAAACCCGACTCAATGGCCTGTACTACTGGTATATCGACATACTACTCAATGTAGTACTGAGCAGTGCTCATCAACGATATCCAATATGTATATAAATGTGTAATCAACCTTTATCTCAAGTGTAATCGAAACAAAATTTGTCATAATCCCCTTTCGGGATACTTGTGGTGTGCTACGACACTATCCAGGTGTACCCATGACTGTATATGTATCATCGTGCGGCTCGATCCCCACGATCGTATTAAAAAAACACATGAAACAAAACTACATGTCAAAAATATCCTAGGTCGGTCGACCACACCAAGGGCATTGTGCACAACGTGCATACACATGACTTTACCGGTCGACCGCCCCTAGGGCGCCGGTCGACCGGCCAAAGCAAAATCTGGTTATTAGGTTTTCTGGTTTGCATAATTTGTAACTATATTTAAATACTTATTTATATCATCATGATACATATAATAATATTAAAACTTGAACATTAAATAATAGAATATCATCTCCATAAAAATTAAACTTTTGATTTAATATAATTAGGGTTAACATCCTAATTAATCAATTTCTCGAATAAAATATGAAATTTGTCCACAAGATTAACTAAACATGATAAATTCTACATAATTAACAGATATAAAAAATTATTTAAACATGTTTACAGAACTTAGGTATCACAAACCTAGGGTTTAAGAATGATTAATTAACATGAAAACTCAAAGAAACCTTCTCGTAATATATCAATTATTTCAAATCAGCATATCTGCAGTTTTTTACAGAATATATCATTAGTAAATTGAGCATATCTTTCTCTAAAAAACTCTTTTTAACAATAATTTTCTGTTTTGGAAACTAGATCCACATAACTATCATTTGGGATTCGTTTGGTTCAGTTTGGAGTTTATATGTTATCTCAAATTTCCAGTTAAAGGTGACACATGTGTAGCAGTTTTCTGCAGAATATGTTATTAGTAAATTAAATATATCTTTCTCTATAAAAACTCTTTCTTAGAATGATTTTTTTGTTTTAGAAAATAGGTTCACATAGCTTTCATTTGACACTAGTTTTATTCAGTTTTGAGTTTATACGTTATCTCAAATTTCCAGTTAAATATTATATACGTGCAGTAATTTTCTGTAATCTATGATAAAAAAAAAACTAAACCTCTTTATAATTTAATTAGATAACAAATTGGGGTTAATACGCGAGTTAAACATAATTATCAAGTTTAAAAAAATAAAAAATTAATCACCCCTAATGATCATGATCACGTTACTATCATAAACAATTAGGAAACGCTAATGATCTAGCATTGGGTTAAGATTTATCATTAAAAATCTTATCTTTTTCATATTAGGCTAAGCCTTAAGCATGAAAATATTGATTAAACACTTTTATAATCATTAAACACTATGGGGATGAGTTTAGATGTAGATGATCTTACCTTATCATGTGTGCAAGCCTCTGAAACTGATGTGAAACGACTCCTCATCGCCAAACATCGTAGTAAAGTTGATAATTTTCATGAAAACATAGGTATATATATATATATATATGCAAACCCGACATAAACCTGTTTGACCCGAACCAGGAAACCTAGTCTGACTAGAAAAATAACTTTCGGTATTTTGGCTGTAACTTTCTTATCCGACCTCGGAATGAGGTGATTTAAGATTTGTTGGAAATCTGTTGAAGAGACCTACAACTTTGGTCCTTTGAGTTTTTCCAAATTCAAACTACATTAGTGTAAAAAATATATAAACTCTTAACTGGTCATTTTTCCAGATTTCTCTTCGTGCATGTTTTGTGCATTTGCACTCATGTATTCATAAATATACATTGAATTGATCTCAAATCAATTCCTATCATATTCAAACATCAAAATATGTTATATTTTCACCATAGAACATATTTATTATTATTTTTCACATAATATTCAAATTTTCGGGGTTTTCCAAAGTTACTGTTGAATTTACTGTAGTATGAACAGTGATGATCCTCCCTTTTGTATAGAGGAGTAGATATGTTAAGCTTTATTATTTCTTGCTGTGAAATTATTTACCATTTTTTTATAAAACTATTTTTTTTGTATATAGTATGATACTATCTTTCATAAAATATTATCTATTTACATATATGTTACCTTCGTTATTATTATTATTATTATTATTATTATTTATAAAACTGTTATCTATATTGGTCAAAACTGTTATTTTCTAAGTCAATGTTTTGAAATGTTATTTTTATTCATAAATTATTATAGTTGCCCATAAATAATATGTTTCTTCATTAATAAAAATTGTTAATCCCTTTCATAAAACAATTACTTTATGTTCATAATATTGTTACCTATGTAGATTAAACTGTTACTAGATATAAAATTTCTTATTCGTTCATAGCTGGGATGAGAATATGATATAGAAGGACTAGGGAGTAGAAATAGAGACTCAAAAGTATTTATACTACTCAAAAGATGACTACATGCTCAGATATTAGACACACGCATCTACAATTACAGTTATCAATGCAAATTTTCGAGTTAGTTGAATAATCTGCACTTAATTGTTGATAACTTTCTTTAGAAGACTCCAAATCAGATATAAATTGATTCATTAGAAACTAGACAGACATGACTTTCTAATGACTCCTTAATCATTCAAGTTGGTAAAGTATAACATAGTTAAAAGCCCTTTCAAATTTAATGATTGTTCATCAGCGGAAAATTCAAGTTCATTATCCAACATAGACAACAAAGAACAGAGAGAGTCAGGGGAGAAAGAAGAGACATTGACGGAAACATAGGAGATTGAGCAGAGTGAGAATAGACGATAAAGAAGAAAAAGAGAGACAAGAGAAGAAGAGAAGAGGCAAATAAAAAGGAGAGGACAGATCATGGTAGAAGAAGGAGGATAAACGAAGAACAAAAAGAAAGAGAGGGAGGAGGTGGAGGAGAAGGATGAGGGTAGTGGAGGAGAGGCGGTGACATTGAAAGAGAAGCGACAGTGAAAAAACGTTGGTGGAGGAAGAGATAAGTTTTATAGAGAAGGGAAAAAGATTAGAGAAGTTGAAGATGTGAAACGTTTATGGGTCCATGAAATAAATGAGAAGGGGAAAAAAGTAAGGGCCTGTTTGTTTGCATAAAAATAGCTATGAAGTAGATGAAGTAGTTGAAGTAGAGGTCATTTTGTTACTTCCATATAAAAAATTATGTTTGTTTCTCTGTAAAAAACTACTTCCGCTACTTTTTTAAAAGCTGATGTGACATCTAACCGGCACCTCTATTTCCTTGATATTTTTCCGCCTTAGAATGCACTAAAATACGACGGAAGTTGATGTAAGATGGGGTCCACAAGAAAAAATTGTGGGGTCCACGAGAAAAAATTGATTCTCAAAATTAATTACTTCCTAGTAATATTTCCAAATATTATCCAAACAAGAATAGAATGGAAGCAACATGCATTAATTACTTCCTAGTAATATTTTCAAATATTATCCAAACAAAAAAAGTAAACGAATAGGAAGAAGTTCTACTTCCATTACTTCTAAAAATACATGAAACAAACAAAAAATAATATTATTTCTGCTATTTTCTATTTTATAGTTTTAAAAGTTACTTTTATAACATACTTTCTACTTCTAATACTTTCATTATCTAAACGGATCATAAGAGAAAAAAAATAAAATAAAAAATAAAAAGTAATTTCTGGGAAAATGACCGGTGGTTTCTGGCCTGAAGCCCGAGTTTACCCGGACTCGATAAATAAGTCAGCCCTGACCCCAAAAGTGGTCCCAAGATGGCGGCGGGTGCGTGCGGAGTCGAACGCAGCCCACGGCCCTTCCCGCTTTTTCGTAACCCTCCCAGAACAAAAACAAAAACTTTTATTTTAAAATTTACAACTTAACCCCTCAAATTAAAACACACTCTCTCCTTCTAATTTCCCTCTCTCTCTCGCCTTTGTCCCCCTCGCCCCCTCAAAACCCTAGAAAAATCTTCTACAAATCTCGTGTCTCGCTGCCGATCATTGTAATCTATCTCGCGATGCCGGAGATCGAGGGATCGAGTATTCATCTCTCTCGTCTTCAGCTCCGATCGCCGCTTTCGTTAGGGCGCTTGAGTGCTAGATTCTCTGCTGCGCTTGAAAATGATAGGATCTCGGTGAATCTCTTTTCTCTGTTTTTATGATTTTGTTAGAATGAATTAGGATACGGGTCTATTTTGATCTTGTTTTTGCTGTGTGATTTTGTGATTCATTGATTTAACTTGTGACTTAGTGTTTGTACTGTCATGAATACTAGCTGTTTTGAATGAGTTAAGGTCGGCCAGTTAATCTTTTTGGGCTGGTTGCAAGATCTAATCTGCCGGTCAATCAGGACGGGGCTAATTATTAATCGAGATAATTCACTTGAAAGCAATTGATTTCGATTGGTTTGGTACTTTATTTATGCTTCTATATTATTTCATTGAGTTTTAATATATAGAATTTGTAAAGACAGAGTAAAATGTCTGGAAATTTTACTTATAATTCACGAAGCATTGGTGGAACGTGTGTTGGCATTGGTTCATCTATCATGCGAGAGAATCATTAAAGATGAACTTCTCCTGGATGGGATTTGATCAGCTGTTTTAAAACCATTTCTTGTAGTATGTACCTTGTTCATGTTCTTAAGGTCGATAGGTAGATGAGTGTGAAGTTTATACTGTCAACTAAAGTAGGTTGCCATGGATATGATGATTATAACGAGATTTGAGCCGCAGCAGTCTTTTATGGTCCAAACATGTTAGGTAGTTGATGTTCTGTTGATCCATGGAACTAGAGCAAACTGTTTGTGCTGGAAGTTGTTATCGGATATCCAGACGAATCTCAACAGTTGAAAGCCCGATAACGTTGCTCAAGCCATTCTGATAATAATTCATTTCATAGTTCATATCTTAAATTTTCAACAGCGTGCATTGAGAAGTAGTGTTAGGAGAGAATGCTACATTTCTGTAGCATGATGGACTTCACAAAAGGTATCTTCTCCATCACTCACATGGGTTTTGAACTGCAACACCGGCATTTACAGTGAAAACATGTTTAAGTAAATGATTTTTTGTCACAAAGTCTAAGCAGTATGAGTGCCCATCATTTCTATATTTTCGGTGAGATTGTACACACGTTATCATGTTTAGATGGTTAATAGATCTCTAGACAAATGAAGTTAATGGTTTGCAGATGCTAGTTTCTTCTCAGTTGGTTCAGTGCTTCTGTTATAATGTAGTTGTTATTGAGGAAATTAATCTTGACAGATCTCTGGACGGATGCCTCGGCGCAAAGGTAAGAGTTGTACCAATGTTACCTGGAGGCTCGACGTCACTGGTTCAAGCTGTGAAAACCACCTCTTGTAACAAGGCTATGTACAGTAAACCCAGAGTGGTCCACAACCTCTTGCATAGTTGGGATCTTCGTGCACCATACCGCCCTTAGTCTTGACAAACCTACAGTTCTGTTTTGTGTGTACCTGAAGCCAACTAGAAAATGCAACAGGTCTGCAACCTATGCCAACACTGAAATAACCATAAGAACAAGTCAACCATATACATCAATTATTAAAAACTTAACCTCTGTTGATGTAATGAAATTGTACAATCTAGAAGGCTCACTGAGTAGGAACGATGAAATATCGACTAGTGTCGGCCGGGTCACTTGATTATCCCTACTTAACTGAAATTTTGATTTGCAACCTCCAAGACTTTGTCACCTGTACTGCAAAGTATCTCTTCTAAAATTACAATAGAAGCAATGTCTTTCAATATAAAAGTTTAGAAGTTACAAAATTACATGACCATTGGAACAGGTTTTGGTCATGTAAGAATCAGTGGACAAATCAAATCTGATATATAGCATGAATTCGGAATGCATTTTTACCATAAGTTGTTATATAGTGGCAATTTAAGGAATTTGACCTTTCTGATTATTTCTTTCAACTTTGATACTTTTTTCCAATTGTCATTGACACATTGGAATTTAGGATTTAGAACCTCAAGGGTGTTTTCTCCTAGGACTAGATTAGAGGGATCAGTCACCCGAAAGTTTGGATTCATTTCTTGTCAGAAACATTCACTTGGTGAATGCATAAAAAGAAATGAACTGAAAGAAAAAGTCTCAAAAAGAAGGGATCTCTCTCCCTCTCATATGTAGATTAACAACAACAATTTCTTTTTTAAGGTTTATTTCTTGAAGTTTTCAGTTTGTCTTGGCAAAATTTTAAATATGTTTGGCCTTCATCTTCCTTTATTTTCTTGCTTTTGTCTCTTATTTCTTATCTTCCATTGATCTTTATTTTCAATGGGAAGTTTTGTTATTGGCCCCTTGAAACATGTCATTTTTTATATTATTTTTAGTTTGAGCATCTCCTATGAATCTCAATGATAATGTACCCAAGCGTCACGGTGAAGTAAGTGGCTATTTTGTTTTCATCTACTTTTTGGAGAGCGCTTCTTTTCGCAAGTTATGTGATCTTAAATTCCTTCAGCTTGATATTTTGCTATGATTACTTTTGGAACCAACGAAGATTGCTTATGTGAGATTTGAGCCACTTCACAGATATTATATGCCCCTCTGTTTAACAACTCAACTAAAATTGTCCTGATCTGTACTGTTTATCTGTTGATAACACTAGTGATGTAATACCTTCTTTCGGTTATATATTCTGTTCATATTCTACATCTGGAACTCCTCTTCTCCTTTACAGGGTCTGTAGCTAACATGAATTATGATTGGGATTATTTTTCCTAGTTTTTTATAAGCTTTACTGATCTTTGAGTTACTTATGAGAAAAATGGAGAATGTAGGAGTTGTTCTTCATGTTATTCCACTCAATTTTAAGGTGTGAACATATGCATACTCTGGAGTTGCTCATGCTGCCACCTCAGCTCCTTTTTTTTATTTCTTCTGCTACTAGTGTATATCTTTTATATATGCATCAAACTTCTGTCGGTGTGCTTCACATCACTTATGCATAGTTCATTTTCTAAAGTACCTTATCTTTTGTTCTGAATGTTATAACAATTTATTTATTTTTCTTCCTTTTGAAGAGAAAGTCGTCGAATGTAAAAGAAGTTTGTGAAGTTGAATTTCTACGAGCAGTTCAACAAGGCCATACAGCAGCAGTTAGCCATATGCTTCCACCTGTTACTAGCTCGAAAAGTAAGCACCACAAAAAACCAAAGGCTTCAAAGCGGAACGAATTTCGGCAAGAACATACTCAATCTGTTGATGGTATTTCCATGCTGCTTACGTAATTGTAATTCTTCCGCTTGTTCTATTCTGGTTATGGTAGTGGCAGTCTTTAGATGACTTAGCAACTAAAGTTTATAGGTCTATTTGTTTGATTGGTTGTACATATATTCCTTCCAAAAAGGAAAAAAAGTGTATGCTTTTTACTGAATTTTTACTTCTACTTGCTCTCAGGTTCTGCTTCTGCTGCCAACAATTGTCGTTTTGATAGTTCTCTTGGTAAGCTGTTTATGTTATGGCTTTGGCATCTTCAGAGATTACGTGATAGTTCATTGGTGGGTTTATTTTAGTGTGGATCTTTAACTAATTTGGACTCTTTGACTCTTCTTTCCTGCATGACAAATCGAAAAAAACTAGCTGAAATATTTCCTTTACCTTTCTAAATGGATAAGTAGAATATTTAACTCAGAAGCAGTATATATTGCGTGAAGAACGTTTTACCTTTGGCCTAGTACTATTTCTTCATCTTTTACCCATGGGATGGGTAAGTAGAATATTTAACTCAGAAGCAGTATATATAACTGCCCTATCTTTTGGCGCATTTTGAGATAACCCCCCTGAGCTTTAAAAATGTCACTCAGCCCCCTTAACTTTAGTGCGTGTCACAAAACCTGCCAAATATTTGCAATTTTTTCAACATATGCCTCTAATAGCATAATCCCCAAAAATTTCAACTTAGCCCTTAACTTTCTACATTGTTTTGAGAAAACCCCCAAAGCTTCCACATTATTTTCAGAAAGCCCAATCTTCAATCATTATTTTCACAATCCCCAATGAAGTTTTGTTAACAAAAAAAAAACCATTACATTTT